AATATAATTAATTAATTAGCATTTATTGTATTAGATTCCTCCTAAAATAATAACTCCTGAATTCTCTAAATACTTCTTGTAAACACCCTACCAAGGGACCGGAACTTTGGTCGGACACACGACTTGTCTTCGGAATAAGAGCATACTGCCTTACGCTGCCACATTCTTTCATACTTTTCATACGTTTCTCACACCTTTTGGTAGATTTAGCTCTCGTAGTTGGATTACACTCCATCAGAATCTAATTTAATATTAAACTTTTGAAATATGCATCAAGACATTTTCATTGAGGATCAAGACATTTTTATTGCGCATCAAGTCTCCTCTATTGAACATTGGAACACTACAATTGAGCATGAAAATTTCAAAACCTATTGAGCATCACAACGTCTTCATTGAATAGTCAGTCGTAATAGTGCTTTTCTTAAAATGTTATTTCGATGTACATTCCGTGTAAATATTATACTCATTTGGGTATAACATAAAACTCATTTTTTTGTATTCATCATTTTATAATGTTATACCAATGTTCATTTCTTTGAAAGTTATGGTCACATTTGCATAACATACATGTAACATATTCATTACAAATTACTTAGAATAAATCTTTCTTAACAATAAAGCTCAACCAAATTTTACACAATGCACATTATAAAATTGATGAGTGCTCATTTTAAATGTAATGATAGAAAAGTATAGCATTCATATTCAAAATATCACATAAGAATCATTAATAGTTGAATCCAATATATAAAACTAAACATAATACCTAATAGCAAATTGTTTAAAGATAAACCTTAGAAAATAACAAACGAAATCAAGAATTCCTTAATTAAATTAGCATAAAAGCTATTTAATTCAATGCAAAAAAAAAAAAATATAACTGTAATGCAAACTAAATTATACATAGTAAATGTTATATTCAAGTGCAACAAAGGTTATTTAAAATTTGCTTAAGAAATGAACAAAACTTCACTTCAGAAATTTTACGAGCAGTTGGTGGGCATTACTATTTAAAAGATAATTTTAATGAAACTCTTGGATCATTACTAGTTAAGTAGAGTAATGAGGATGCTTCAATCAGATTACCATTACCTTTAATGTCTTCAGAATTTAAATTGAATCAATTTTGGGATGAATATTGAAATAAAGAAAAAAGGAAGAGTGCAATCTAGGTGTGCCGGGAACAACATCAAGAGAGAGCAAGGTGCAAGGACCCAAATAGATTCATAATAACTAGTTTGAAAGTTAGACAAGAAGGGGAAGATTGGTTTTGGGAAGACTTTAGATATGAAGAACTCCCAAACTTTTGCTTTATCTATGGAGTTTTATGACATATTGATCGCTTCTGCCCCTCTATTATTCACCCTGGACTTCGGTTAGAGAAAAAACCCTATGGGTCCTAGTTACGCGCAGACGTGAGAAGAGGAGGAGTGCATCCCGAAAATAGGTGGTTGATTACTAGTGGGAGCCGAGCAAGTCAAACGATAGAGGAGGATGTGACTCAACACAACCAAAGGGCAGCAATGGAAGAGGACACGGATGGCTACACTGTTGAAGGTTTAGTCTCTAAAGATGAATACTAATGAAGAAATGGGTTAATCAAGGAAGCATCAAGTACCTGATAGAGAGCAGAGAGTCCAGGGGGATGCGTGGAAGAGGAGGGTCCGAGACCCAAGGGGCTGTCGGTTTACTGCAGGCGGGAGCGAGCTTGAGCCCACCTTCGAGGGCTGGTTGCAGGCTGCTTAATTAATACTACCTCCGTCCCGCTAAGATTGTCTCATTTTACCATTTCGGTTCGTCCCACTAAGATTGTCTCATACCAATTTTGGTAAAGTTTGTGTGGCTGTAAATCATTTTTACTTTATTCTTACTTTATCAATATAATATCAACCACATACACCACTTTTTATTAATTTGCGTGCCACTCTCTCTTGTCCCATTGTTAGTGGGGCAGAGGGAGTACTTATTATTTTTAATTTTCCTGATTTGTTTCCTATTTAGAGTTAATTAGGATTTCTATTATTTGTTTCCTATTAGAAGTTGATTAAGATTTCTATTATTTGTTTCCTATTTGAAGTTGATTAGAATCTCTATTATTTTGTTTCCTAGTTGGAGTTGATTAAGATTTCTATGATTTTGTTTCCTAGTTTGAGAATTAGTAGACGAGTATTTAAACCCCTTGTTAGGATTCATTCTTGCTCATTTTGGAATAAAATGGGAGTTTAGCCTTTTGGCTCTGGGCAACGGTATTTTTATTGTTGATTATCTGGAAGGGTTCACCCCGTTAATTTTATTTTTCCGTTACTCAACAATTGGTCCGACCCGCCAAATCCCGTCCCGCTGGAATGACAAGATCAATCACTGAACGTTTGTCGAAGATGGAGGCCGAACAGGTTTTGCTGAACCAGAAACTGGACGCGCGAGGAGCAATGCTGGACGCGCGAGGAGTTCAACTGGCAGCGTTCACAGCTTCCTTGGCTGCGCTCACTGCGCTCATGAAGACTTATATACGTCATCGGATTCTGCGTCAGCATCTGCGTGCGAACTTGAGGAGATTGCTGAGCTGGAGAAAGATGCAGCATTAGGAAGTTGTGGGTCGGGAAGGCTTGCTTCATGCTTTCTTGATTCCATGGCAACCCTAGATTCGCCAGCATGGGGTTATGGACTGAGGTACAAGTATGGACTACAGAAGCAACGTATTACAGAAGCTGGACAAGAGGTAGTTACTGAAGATTGGCTTGAGAAATTTAGTCCCTGGGATAACGCAAGGTATGACATTGTGTTTCCTGTCATATTTTTTTTCTAATGATCATGTTGAGCTCAATGGATCCCGGAAAGGGATTGGTTGGGAGGTCATACATGCGGTTGCATATGATGTTCCGATTCCTGGCTCTAAAACAATGAACACAAAGAGTCTTAGACTTTGGCAGGCCAAAGCTAGTGCAGAGGACATAAACTTATTTCAAGTTAGCGGTGGTCAATATGAATCTGCTACACAGTTTCACTCTAGTGCTCACCATATTTGTGTTGTCTTTGATCCTGGCGATGCAATTGAAAGTGGAAAACTTTTAAGACTTAAACAACAATATTCGCTAAGTGGTGCGTCAATTCAGTATACCACATACAAATTTAAGGAGAGGAATGATGGGAAGGTAGGCTTGATTGGTCTTCATTCCCCTCAAAAGTTGTTCTGTTAGAGGCCAGTGGGAATAACAATATGAAATTTGCACTGAATGGGTGCCTAATCACAGGAACACTGGACAGGGCTAATATGGAAATCAGAGAGGAAATTGGAGAAGATAATTTTTTCCTTTTTGGTGTAAGAGCTGAAGAAGTGCCTCTTTTGCGCAAAGAAAGAGAAACAATCAATTTAAATCAGATCCTAGGATTTAAGAGATCTTTGTGAGGCAGTTTTCATATTCCAACCTTGAGTACAAGGTTATTTTGAAGGAGGATGGATTGATAGAGAGCACAGTGAGCACGTGGTTGTGTAGAAGAGGTGGGTCTGAGACCCAAGGGGCTGTCGGTTAATTGCAGGCGGGAACGGGCTTGAGCTCACCTTCATGGGTTGGTTGCGGGCTTCTTAATTAATATTTATTATTTTTAATTTTCCTGATTTGTTTCCTATTTGGAGTTAATTAGGATTTCTATTATTTGTTTCCTATTAGGAGTTAATTAGGATTTCTATTATTTGTTTCCTATTTGAAGTTGATTAGAATCTCTATTATTCTGTTTCCTAGTTGGAGTTGATTAGGATTTCTATGATTTTGTTTCCAAGTTTGAGAATTAGTAGACGGGTATTTAAACCCCTTGTTAGGATTCATTCTTGCTCATTTTGAAATAAAATAGGAGTTTAGCCTTTTGGTTCTGGGCAACGATGTTTTTATCGTTGATTATCTGGGCAACGTTGACCCCGTTGATTTTATTTTTCCGTTACACAATAGTACCAGAGATATATATTGCAGAGTGGAATCAAGCTAGCATGGAGGTGGATAGAGTGTAGATCCAAAGAATGGAAAGGAGACCGTGCTTCTGGGAAAGCACTCTTGTTTGAGCAGATGGATGCAGTGGGGATAGTAGAAGGAGTTGCCGATAAGATTAATTTGCAAGGAGGTTGAGGTTTGTCCTTATGTGGTGGCTGGTCAAACCACGTATCCTTGTCCCATAGGTGGTGAAACCGGTCCGTTTCTTTCTGCTGTTTTTGAGTTTTAGTTAGAACATTTTTTATGTTTAAATCCTTATTTGAATAGCAAGTGCACCAATGCTGTTAGTTTAGTCTACATCCCTGCGGGGTTAGCGATCTGGATCGCTTTTGAGCGATATTCCAGTTCTATGTCTCACCCTAGTGTAAACGCTGAGTTGATTGCTATGTTTCTTGATACCTTTATTATTAATAAATAAGTTCATTGATTTGAAAAAAAGTAAAGTTCTAAAGAATTACAAAAATAGTGTAAGTAGGTGTACAACTTTTCTGACTTTTTGAGACGAAGGTGTAGTTCGACACACAAAGTACCAAAATAATTAAAAAACCATGGGTTATTGACATGCACGTGTAGATTCCCTGCTGACAATTCCAAAAGGTGTAGATTTTGGTCTGCAGACCATTTTAAAAGATGAACATATTTGGCGAATATGTTCAACAAGTTTTATCAAAAAAAGAAATCAAGGAACGTATTTGGTAAATATGTTCAATAATTTTCGATTAAAAAAAGGGTTTTAACAGATTCGGTTAATATGTTCCTGTATTTACATTTTTAAACAGTACAATGCTTTATTTATGTCATCCAACATTTCAAAAACAATTATACAGTACTATCTAATGAAATGAAAATTTATATATTCTGAATTGAAATATTTATTGAAATGATCAGAAACAACTTGTTATTAAAAACTTAAAAAGTACAATTCTTTCATAATAAATTACTAAATACACTAAAATATTAAAAACTCATGAAATCATTGTTGTCCTCTTCTTCTGCTTGGACACATATTCATCTCATTTTGAAACCTTGTTTCTTGACGACGCCCCACTCGAGAAGTTTGTGATAAATATTTCGGCGGTAAAAGATGAATCCCAATATCCGGCCACTCATTCATATTTGGTAAAGGCATAATTTCACCCGCATGTGCATTAATGTAAGAGCTCAGTTTATATTCCTCTGGAATAAGTTGATCGACAGGGCGGTTGAGGAAGTGACACACAACATGCACGTGGCTGCATGATATGGCATCCAATCCATCCTCCAGCAACCGTAGTGGCAGAACCAGGGGTGGGCGAGCCGGTGCTGGCGCCACCCCTTCGCCGGAGTACTTAAGGTATATATATGTCATGTTTATTCCGGCGCCCCTGGAGCTTTCATGGTTTTATGCCGGCTGAACTAGTGTGCTTCAGCTGAAAGAAGACAATGACCTAGCGTCGTTTTTCTTTTAAAATTTCATTTAGCCAAACGACGACATTTCCTTAGATACACAGAAAAAGAAAACAGTAAAATGAAACGACATGAAAGTATATAAAACGACATCCAAGTAATAAAACGTGGTAGAGTACATACGGAGTAATTCATACTCGTAATTGAATGAACAGAAAATGTCAATAATATACATTGACTAGATTCTCGAATTCGGATGAGAAGAAAACAAGGCGTTAACGCTTTGAAATTCCGCCGACCGCCGATTGCCGGTCCTGTGCTCTCGCTGGATCTGGAAGCCTGAAGAGCTTCAGTGCTGCGCGCATGCCGCTGCGCATTCGGTGGAGATAAGTTTTGCTTTTATAATGTGTTATTATGCATTACTCCGTAAATAATTGGGCATTCAGTTGAACTGTTTCATTCTTATTTTATATATATAATACTACCTCCGTTCTTAAATAAGTGCAACATGTGAAATTTTACACCATTCACATGTTCTACTTTGACTACATTTTATTTATTGATGTATTAATATATATTTTTGAAATATATATTATTAAATTTGTCTCATTTTAAATTTTCAAAAACTGATTTTTTTAATTTTTTTACTGAAAGAGAATTATATATATTAATGGTCAAAGTTGTGCCTCGACAAGTATGAAATGTTGACTGTTGCACTTATTTAAGAACGGAGGAAGTATAATAATTAAATAATTGTGTTAATGGTGTACTGATTTGTATGCGCAGAATGAAATTAACTTGTTTAGCCTACGGAGTAGCCTTGCATTTATGCTTTATGAATTAGTATTAATCAATTCTGCTATAAATCATATAATGTTGCTGTTATACATTTATTTGTTACATATTAGTGATCAGACTGAAGCAATTTTCTAATGATTTTGACTAGAGGAAATTTTGGAGGAGATATTATTATTTGCATTGTTTTCCTTATTAGTTACGGATTATATTTGGTTGGGTCATTCTTGGTGTACATAAAATGTATACACAAATTGTAAAATTGTATATGTCTGTGTACATAGACATTTTGGTATAAAATCATTTCCCTTTTCAAACGAATTGTCTGTGTACACAAGCAAGTATTGAGATTTTGTATACACTTTGTGTACTAATTGTGTACACCTAGTATTTATCTACTCCGTATTTGTTTAAGATGGAAACATGGAATTTTATGACACTTTCAATTTAGACAATCAGACCAGACCTGTTTATTATCTAATTCATTATCTATTTATTAGTTTTGAAGATTAATATTTAGTGCTTTTTCAACGCCCACTTGAAAAACGTTCTAGTTCCGCCACTGAGCAGCCGCAATCATAGCCGCTCCTTGAAAAGTCTACCGTAACCGGAGTTGCATTTTCTATGGCTACTGAGAAAACTCCACTATGATAATTGTGTGGAATTACAACAGTGTGACGCCTTTGTTGCCGTCGATCCATAATCTGCTTCCGGATTTTTTCCGGAAATTGATATCCACTTTGATTTCACATCATACCAGCATTACGTCGTTCTGCAAATAGCTGAACATATTTATCGAAAGTTGCTCTCACAAGTGTTGTAATTGGAAGCGTTCTACATCCTTTTAGGGCATGGTTAAAACATTCAGATAGATTGGTCGTTAAAATTCCATAACGACACCCACCATCAAAACAAAGTGCCGACTTCTCTTTAGGAATGACATCAAGATAGTTGAATGCTCTTTCATTAGCACCTTGAATTTGTTGCATGCAATTGGTGAATTCATTTAGAATGAGGGTACTTCCAGCACGCCAACACAATTTTTTTAGATTCTTGCTTCGAAATTAGGACATAAAATTACTTCGAATGTGTTGAAGACAATATCGCCTCTGAATTAGAGATGTTCCCAATTGTGGCACATTCCGGAACACACAATCAATAGCGACATGTCGGTCAGATATTATGCAAACATTCCGACACAGAAGAATAATATTTGTCGCAACTAACTGTAAAAACCACGTCCAACTGTCCCCGTTTTTACTATCAACCACCCCAAAAGCTAGAGGAAAGATTTAAGGGTTAGCATTCATTTCCACCGCGACCAACAAAGTGCCTTTGTATTTACCGTACAAATGTGTACCATCAATGGAAATGACCGGAAGACAGTGATTGAAACCATGCATCAATCGCTGCTTTGATTGACCAAAATGCGTACTTAAATTCATACGTACCTTGTGTATCGGTTTGGTCTGTTCTTAGGTCTACAATGGTGCCCGAATTACTAAATGTCATACGTTGTAGAAGTTTTGGGAGATCGTTGTACGTTGCCTCCCAATTGCCAAATTGTTTCTCCAATGCCAAGATTCGAGCATACCATGCTTTCTTGTAACCCACATGGATGTTGAACTTACGTTGTATGTCATGCATGATGAGCTTTACACTATAATCGGGCTTAAACAAAAATCATGGACCCTATTTCAGAAGCAATTAACTTACTAGTGAGAAGTTTATCGTTCTTACCTGATGTGTAGTTGGGATTGCAATCGTGTTGCGATTGATACTGCTTGACTTTCCACTGTGTAGTGTGCTTGATTTGTGATGCTTGAATATGCCACACACAAGTTTCATCATAAACACACTTTGCTCGCCAATAATTCATGCGTTTCGCCTCATTACAAAAAGTTTGAAATTCTTTGAGGTTTTAAAGGGACTATGTCTTCCTTCAACTCAACGAATGTATCATATACTCTAGCCACATATATGGGCCGTTCTTCACGATATGTGGGTTCAACGAACTCCTCCTTGTCCTCGTTTGGGTAATCATCCCTGTCTTTAGAACTACTCTCGTGTTCAGAAAAGGAAAGAGCGTTATAATCAAGAATGATTTCCATATCATATAAACCTTCACTGGACATTTCTTGCATAATGCGCTCACATAGTCTTGCATAATCATCACTCAAAAAAAGTGAAGCATTTGGATACATAGAGTAATTGACTTCATTATTAATTTCAGTCAACACCCTATTCCATCACTAGACATGTTATACAAATACTTTGTAGAAATAATAGTAGAAAGAAAGAAGTTTGTTTGAGAGTGGTGAAAATGAGTGTGGTGGAACTCCCTATTTATGGTATAATAGTTAGGTGAGGTGGATGTGGTAGTTGAGATAAATAGAGTAGTTGTGGGGGGTGGTAAATAAAGTAGATGGGTTGGATGTGGTTGTTGAGATTAATATAGTAGCTGTGGATGGTTGAAATAATTAGAGTAGATGGGTTGCACAATAATTATTACTCACATATTTATTATCAAAGTAATATTGTTAAACTACTTTGTTGCTTCAAAAAATATTATTAAACTAATTTTATTACATGACGGAGAGATATTATTACACTAATACGAATATTATGACAATAACATTCATATCATTAAACTTATATTATTACATCACACAAAGATATTATTACATTAACGTTAATACTATTACACTATTAATATTATAAACTAATATTGTGAGCTCGGCTCTGGACCGCCGGTCGCTCCACTGAGGTGATCATTGCCAAACATATCAGCCCAACTAAAATCAGGTCACTGCTGATGTTCCGGAACTTAATGTGCGTGATAGGAACTACCAACTGTGGATGGGGGTTCCATGGGTGTATCATGAGATGTATCGTCATCATGTAACCCATGTCCCGTGGGTCTGCTCGGTTGGCCATGCCCTTCAGGCAATGCGTGTCCTTCATCAACATTTTCAAATGTGATGATGTCGTGATCCATCGCTTCTTCTGCACCTATTCGCCTTAGGCAATTCCTGATTCGCTCCATCATCGGATAATCTCGAGGGTCACCTCTTTCACGCATTTCCCGAGCAACCTCCCTCAAACATTGAGTCTGCAATATAAATTTATACAATTAATACTGTGAATTATTACATTATTTGAGAATACTAAACACTCTTAAATAATAACCGTGACAGCTATATGTGGATGAACACGATGATCAGCACGATGTTCTCCGGGTCTCATCACCAATACAGAACGTTTTTGGGGCCCGGGTTGGGGGTGTTCTCTTTGTGCAGCCATGAAAACCTAATAATATATTAAATTTATTTCTTATCAACACTTAAATGTGTAATATGAATTATAAATGTAATGAAACAACACTACTTATAATACAATTTGTAATACAAAAAATACACCTAATTAAACAACAACATATTTCGTTAACTATAGAGTAATACTACTGAAATAGGAAAGATTTCTACAAACGAATGGTGAAAAAATTATCCAAAAAAGGTTAACATGCACATTAGTAAATTTATACATACATATTTAGTAAATTAACACTACTCTTTCATATCTGGTAAATCAACTAATATTTTGTATGTTTCCTATTTCACTTTTTTGTGTAGGTTCCTAATTCACAATTAAAAATTAACACTATTATAGACTAATTTCATTCTTAAGTAACACAAATTAAATTATTTATTAAATTAAACTAATTTTTTTTGTAGGTTACGTTCTACACCAAAATAGACAAGATTTTAACAAATGAATTTTGAAGAAATTATCAAGAAGCAAGGTTAAATAGACTAATATTTGGTAAGTTACCTATTTCACTTTTTTAGAACCAAGATAAATAAGTACATTTGTACAAACGTATTTAGTAAATTAACACTAATCTTTCCTATTTGATAAATAGACTAATATTTTGAAAGCTTCTCGTTTCACTTTTTTTATAGGTTCCTAATTCACAATTAAAAATCAACACTATTATACACTAATTTCATTCCTAAGTAACATAATTAAATTATTAACTAAATTAAACTAAAAAAGATTAAGGAAAAACTTACTTGGGTTAAGATGAAGGAGATGACCGAAATTTGGAGGAGAGAAATTGGAACGGTTAGATGTGTTGTGAAGTGAGCCAATTTGTGGTGGATTTTATAGAGCCGATTTGCCAAATAAGTTTCAGTATTTGGCGATCTGAGCCAACTTATTCTGACCAATAGGAGCACAGACATATTCACCAAATATGTTGAGAAATAAATTAATTTAATGCAAACAAATCTGCTCAAATCTGCTCAAGTAGAAGCCGATCCACGGCCTTAAGATGGCGATCCGCACCCAATACTTTCGGCCAATAGGAAGAATGACATATTTGCCAAATATGTTGGAAATATATTAATTTAATGCGCGTGGATTCACCAAATCTGTTTAAGTAAAAGTCGATCCACACCCTTCACTTGAAGATCCGAGATGGCGATCCGCATGGAATACTCTTGCCCAATAGGAAGATGGACATATTCACCAAATATGTCCAGGTACATATTTTTTTCTTTTTGCAAATACCGAACATATTTGCCAACTATGTCCACCTTTTCAACTAATAATTCGATCAAAACCTATACCTTTTGAAACACATGCAACAAACGGATTGGGATCCTCTACCCGACTAGGAGGGTGCCTTGCGCATCGGACGGGAGGGGAGTGGCCAACACGGCCTCGAGATTGGCGAAAAAGTGGAGCCCAAGATCTCCGACCGTTGAATTATCGATCGGACGACCGGGAGGAAGCAAGACACTCTACCTTACTCTAAAGTAAGGTAGAGGCGTCGGATCCGCAACAAACATAGTCCCTCTCTCATTTACTCAAAAACCATACATGACTCTTTAAAGAGTCCTGGCTCCTTGAAATCTCTCGACAAAGTACTGCTCCCTATTTTTGGTTTTAGTTTGACCTGGAATCACCTAGCCCGAAGCTGCCTTCATATTCAGCTTCTACCGACCAACCTCAAGCTTCTTCCAGTTGCTTAAGCCTCCTCCTCCTGCAGCTTAGCAGCAAGGAGCGCCCCAGCACTTCCGCCTGGTAACAGTTAATCTCCCACCTCCATAGCTTATTATTCCGGCTCTGCCACAGTTGCAAACATCATTACTTATTACACATTCAAGAAACAGTTTTCAAAAAATAAAAAGACAAGAACTTTATTTGAGAAACAAATTAGGGATAAAAAATGCAATTTTCCCATAAATCTTGTACCTCATCTCCTCTCATTTTTTTGTGTTCATGAATGGTGGGTTTTGGAGAGTAGGGGAAAAAATGCCATCACCGCATATGGAAATCAAAACCCTGTGTGACTGTGCCCTTATCACTCTCGTCCGCAAGGGAGCTCTTCTCTCCACATTTATATCATCAAGTAAGTTTTTTCTGCGCTACTAATTGATTCTTTTTTTGTACTCAACCTTGATTCTAAGTTCTGCTTCATTTCTCTAGAATTTATTTTTGGATCACTTTTTTTTGCTAAGCAAGAGTTGTTTTGTTTTTAGCTTCGAACAACCAAAGCTGCTTTTGCCATTTTGTAACTAAGAATGGATGAAGTGCATATATTTGCTATTTCAGTTTATATTTTTCTAGGAGCTTATAGTACTTTACTTTTTGCATCCTCTCACCTCCAATATTGAAGCAAATAAAGGATCATGAAATACCCTCTCCTTTAACAGAAACCAAACAAGGTAGCAAAAATGCCTAACATCCCCCCCCCCCCCCCCCCGTTCTGCTGTCCCATTGAACCAAACAGGCCTTAACCCTGTCATCACCAGTAGCACTATATAATACATGACCTAGAAGTTGGTGGCTTGGTGCAGGAAACATCAAAACCCCAAAATATTTCATAGTAGAATCTATTCAGTTAAAACCCAACCACAAGTCCATCACCAAGCCGAAATAGCACCCTTCCACATCGTACTACACCCATTCTTTCAGGAAATTTTTGCTAACAAAAACCCTAAAAAGTTTCAATGCAAGTGCTCTCTCATTCTGCATATATAAGTTCCCTTGAATCTAGAAAGGATTAATGTTAAGATTCCTGGTAAATCATATTTGTATCATTTTATTATAATTACTTCATGAATGCCTTGTCTTCGTTCTTACTGCATTTAACAGCTATACTCAACTGAACAGTATATGATGAAGGAAGAGATCTTTCCATTTGATGGATATGCACTCAGGACTTATATTATTGGTGGCTTGGAAGTTTGAGATGAGAATAGGACCTGCTGGGTAACAGGCATTACAGCAATGATGTGTCTCTGTAAAAGTAAAGGTGTTTATAGCTGTTCGAATCCTTTCATTTTTTGCTTCCCCTTTTCTGAAGAGGCTTTCTGTTGTTGGAATCATTTTCCCCTTCTATCAATGTATCCCCACAGAAAGCTTTATTCACTTCTAATTTGTTTTATTCTACGTATAAAACCTTCTGTTGTTAGCTGTTCGATGTAGTGAAATTTGACCTTCCTGAGTTCCTGGAAATACATACATATATATATATATATATATATATATATATATATATATATATATATATATACATATATATATATAGAGAGAGAGAGAGAGAGAAATGATCCTGTCCAGCACGTTTTTGTCCGAATGCCGTCCGAACATGGCCATTTGGGGCCCTTCCCGGTGAAATTTTTTGATGAAATGTTTTGAGCATGTTTCTCATCAAGTCTAGTTTGTCCATTCCAAATTTCAGCTCAAAACTCGACCGGGAAGGCATTCAAATCATTTTTTGAAGTTGACTGCGTCAAAATGTACACATAAAAACGCAGTCAACTTCAAAAAATTATTTGAATGCCTTCCCGATCGAATTTTGAGCTGAAATTTGGTATGGACAAACTAGACTTGATGAGGAATATGCTCAAAAAAATTCATCAAAAAATTCCACCGGAAAGGGCCCCAAACAGGGATGTTCGGACGGAGGGTCCTGTCCGAACGTTCGGACCTGAACTTTCGTTCCAAGAGGATTTGAATATATCGGCTTAAAGAGGATCCCAAGAGATTGTAGTGTTTCAGTTCCACAATTCCCAAATCTCAAGGCTTCTTCAGTAGGAACCAATATATCTGACCTTTTATCTACTCGTAGGGGTATAAGCAAGGCTGTCTAGTAGGGCATGTGAGAAGAACTACACCATTAGGACTCCTCATTATAAGACCTAAAGTTTTGAAAATATAGTATATATTGTAGATAAAAGCACTTTTTTAAGAAGGCCCATTTTAATGTTTTATTTTGAAAAAATATGAATATTATATGATAATACTTGAAACATATTCCTAGATGAAATTATGCATAGGTTTTACTCTAAAAGGCCAAATTTTTGTAGTTAGCACAAAACCTCCTAAAAGTTTAAGCCCAGTCTTACATATAAGCTTATGACCTTATAATGTGAGTGCCTCTGGTTTACGTCATTAATGTTCAGTATAAACTTCTTTGTTCTGGAATTGTTTGATTTCCTGGACTATAGTTCCTAGTGTCTTTACTCCAAAATTTAACATTAACTGCTCCCTATTCTTTACTCTGCTTGCAGGCTTACTGTCACTTTTTCACTCAAAACATGCTTTCAAATTTGCAAATGTTACAAGGCTCTTGTCTACAAGCACAGGCAATCCTGACCTGCAGGGGAGGAAATTAGATTTTTTAAGTAAATTCGAGGAGTTAGGGAAAGGAGCTGATACTGGGCAATGGAAGAACCAAGAATACCTAAGCAAATTGGAAAGTGTTAGTCAAGTAGTAAATAGCATTTGCAAGGTATTGGAGAGTGTTCCATTGGGACCCTCCTTGGAAAACGCTTTATCTGATAATGACGAAAAACATGATATTCAAGTTGTAATTGCAGTCTTACGGAAGCTAAATGATGCGAAAATCGCAATGGATTATTTCCGTTGGGTGGAGAAGAAAAATGACCAAACTCATTGCCCAGAAGCATACAATTCACTTCTCATGGTAATGGCAAGGAACAAAAATTTTGAGCATATAGAGCAGATTTTTCAAGAAATGAGTCTTGCTGGCTTTGGTCCCTCGAGTAGAACATGTATTGAAATGGTTACAGGATGTGTCAAGAGCAGAAGATTAAAAGAAGCATTTGATCTAATTCAAACTATGAGGAAATTTAAGTTTCGCCCAGCATTTTCAGCATATACAACATTAATAGGTTCATTGTCTGAAGCCCATGAACCCGATCTCATGCTGAACCTCTTTCATCAAATGCAGGAATTAGGGTACGAAGTAAATGTCCATTTGTTCACCACAGTGATTCGAGCATTCGCGAGAGAGGGCCGAGTTGATGCGGCTCTTTCCTTGCTGGATGAGATGAAAAGCAACTCTTACAGTGGAGACATTGTCCTCTACAATGTTTGCATCGATTGCTTTGGTAAGTCAGGTAAGGTCGATATGGCTTGGAAGTTCTTCAATGAATTGAAGGCCCTTGGTATTACACCTGACGAAGTGACCTACACTAGTCTGATTGGTGTTCTCTGTAAAGCTAACAGACTACCTGAAGCTGTTGAGCTATTTGAGCAGATGGAGCTCAATAGGGCAGTTCCTTGTGCATATGCATACAACACAATGATCATGGGTTATGGATCTGCTGGAAAGTTTGATGAAGCATACAATTTACTCGAGAGGCAAAAGGCAAAGGGTTCAATACCCAGTGTGATTGCGTATAATGGTCTCCTTACTTGCCTTGGGCGGAAGAGAAGGATAGATGAGGCTTTACAGATTTTTCACCAGATGAAAAAAGATGCAGCCCCAAATCTGTCAACGTACAATATTCTCATAGACATGCTATGCAAGGCAGGGAAGCTTGAGATTGCTTCACAAATTCGTGATGACATGCAAACGGCTGGATTGTTTCCTAATGTATTGACTGTGAACATAATGATTGATCGTCTGTGCAAGGGTAACAAACTTGATGAAGCTTGCTCAATATTTGAAGGGATGGATCACAAAGTTTGTATGCCAGATGAAGTTACATTCTGTTCCCTAATTGAGGGGTTGGGCAGGCATGGAAGGGTAGATGATGCATATCGCCTCTTTGAAAAAATGTTAGATTCTGGCCGAACATCACCTAGTGGTGGTGCTATTGTTTGTACATCTCTAATCAAGAATTTTTTCAAATGTGGGCGAAAGGAAGATGGTCATAAAGTTTACAAAGAAATGGTTCGTAGAGGGATTTCTCCTGACCTCCCCCTTCTTAATACCTACATGGATTGTGTTTTCAAGGCAGGTGAAACGGATAGAGGGAAAGCAATTTTTGATGGAATCAAGGGTTGGGGGTTCACACCTGATGTGC